AGCGCAAGATTTCATTTTGCGAGTGCACTCTTGCGGGATTTGACCACGAATTTCCGAGAGAAGCCGCGTTTGCACCCGATGATAATGCGCCTTCGTCCGCAGCAGCCTATACATCATACCAGTTTTTCAGTAACTAGTTTTCAGCAATCAACTCCGAACTTCTAATCGCAGATGCTTAAAAAATGAGAACATGGATTCTGTCCTTTGGTTTCCGTTAATCGTGAGCAGTACATAATTCGTCAAAATCTTGATTCAGGCCCTCATTTATTACCCTTCTCGCGTGAGTTGTTATTGCTAACAAATTTGAAACTTTATGGTTAGCGGAAGGTTGCAGCATGTAGCCATTGTCGCGCAAATTGTGAAGCCAGTAGACTCTTGGATTCGAGACCCATGTTCCCATACATTTTACGGCACTTCCAAAGATGTTGCGAACAACAGCTCCTTTTACTGCTTTTGGATGTGTTGAGAGTGTAGTATGATGTATTTGGAACTTTCCGTCTGGTACCATCTTTACGAACAGTATTATCAGCCAGGGGTATCTGCGTATATTATATTTAGGAAGGGTGCCATCCGTTGTTCGGAGTTTCCGCGCAAGCTTGATATGCTGTGACTGCCGTGAGGATTTTGAAGCATCCGCCCATTTGTGTCGAGGTTATGTCACAGCAGTCATCGATGTAACGACAGTACATTAAAGTAAGCGCGCCAATACTGCTTCATTATGCTCATGAAGCAAATAGCTAGGACGGGGCTAACCGTTGATCCATCGCCAGTCCACGAGTCTGGGAATAGTAATTCCCAGGTTATTTGAGCAGTCACATTTCAAGCATTGTTTGATGATAATTAGTAATTACGCCCTGCTCAAACCGAAGGTAACCTTGTTATTGTACTGAGAATCCAACATCTCAGACAATGCTTGCCGTGCGGCATCATTTCGAATATTAATGTATGGTGAGGTGACATCGAAGGACTCGATAACATAGTTTTCACTAAAATTCGTTATTGCAGCTGTTTTACAGACTATTGAGTGGTCGCGCAGGAAGCTTCGGGAACAACTGGTTTACAATTTCATTAAGAAACCATGAGTTTCACTTTGTAGGTCTACTAGTACAGCTTATAATCGCTCATATCTTAAAAGTTGTCGCAGACATGGAATCAAGCCCGCTTGATGTTCATTTGTGGGCCTTCACGAGATAACTCGTGGACATAGATATAAGAAGTGAGTACCTAAATTAGTCTTACCTTTTCAAAAGAGACGTACACATTTCAAAATACTTGATACTATTCCAGTTATACTTGTTAACTGCCGTTGAGCTTGTTTTAGCTCTTTGTCTTGCCAAGACGTATGTTCACTGCTACCGCTCACGCTCAATGTTACGAAAGTTTTGTTGGCACGTGCTCTACCAATACAAGAAAGATCAGGGCTCGTTTAAGTATGCTACGATTGGCATTTGCTCATACATACTTATCTCTAAGAAACTATTTTTAGGGTCTTTATCTTGAATCAAGGCGCTTACTTGCATTGCGTCGTTATCATTAGCGAATGACATATTTCTTGACTACATTCTGTTCGCGATCAGCATAGAGCAATGTGGGTGCCTGAAGTAAAAGTTTCTTGATGTGCATAATCTGGTCAAAGGCACTGCTAAGTAAGACCTTGCAAATTGTGAGCAGTTTATTCGAAGTGGAAAACATCAATGAAACATAATGTTCGCACCATCATCGCAAATTATTGCAGAAAGAAGCTATCAAAATAACTGCTATCATTTTTGGGAACAGAAGTTTGCGAGTAGTTCCCAGTATTTAAATTTATCCGTCCCAAGTCCACAGTGATGTCATTAGCATCTGCACTGATGCAAATTACTACATAGGCGTGCAAAGATTTGTCAGGTATGAAGTGGAAAGTAACATATCCTCCGGGAGATTTGTGAAGTGTTATTACACGAGAGCATAGTATTATGTCTCCAGGTAGTTCTAGTTACAAATCCATTACATCATCTTATCATCTTTTGGTGATCGATAAACAATAGTGTTTAACAACAACGAGCTACTACGTGTTGACTGTGACATGGTGGACCTACAGTGATGGTTGTTTGAGGATGGTCTATCGAAAGGTTTATGGTGTGTGCGATGCACCGCTATGACCTGGTCGGACCCAGGTTCGATCCTGCCTCTGGGCCAGCCGGGCCCACTGATCTCCGGTGAATTGGTGGGGTGGTCCATGAGGATCGAGACACTGACGTTATGGTGGACTGACCCTGGTGGTTCTGGGGACTTACGCACATACATGTTCTTTCTGGTGTGGGTGGTGTGCGTTCGACGCGTGCCCGCGTGGGTGTTGATTGCACCGGGTCCTTTGATCTCTGTTGAGTGGTCTACAGCAGTAAACACTTACCATCCACCGCTCATCCTATCCTACTATAATAACGCGCTAAGGCTGTCTGTTTTTTTTTGTGTGTGTCTGTGTGAAAATCTGCCTGTCACGAAATTCATAGAGGAAGCTGCAACTAAGCTATCGGTCTGCAATTTTGCACAACATACCGTGCCAGCGTGTAGGCCCACCATGCACAAGGACGAGCCGGTTCGATAAACAGGTCCCTCAGAATTTGCGCGTCAAACGGGTCCACGCGCCTTTTGGCACGCAAAACTGGGTCGCTAATTCCACTTTTTGCAAAGTTATGATTTGCCTTACAAGCAAATCTGCGCGCCATGAATTCTATCCCAAAAAGTGCTCAAAAAATTTGCTTTTTTGCGAGAGCAGCGCCAAAAAAGTGATGAATGCGTTGAGAGTCGAATTGGCAAGGTTTTATTTGAAAAAACTGAAAAGGTTTTTGGGCTGAAATGTAGCCCAAGGTGACTCTTATAATTATGACGATTATCAAAGTAAAACAAATTCAGTAATCCGTTCAAATTCGCATTTGTTTCCTTGCAACAAAGTTTTTTTCTCAAAATTACCGTTCTTGCATAGAGATGCTTCATGAATGAACAGTTGTTTACGATTCATTTGTGATGCTCAGCATCGCATGGTGAGTTTCAAAGCCGTTCTCATGCGAACATGAGAAAGGCATACGGATAGGGAGCCAGTCGATCCTCCGCGGAGCGGAGGTGACGCACTGGTTTAATATAATTTAAGTTCTTAGGTTATAATTTTACCAGTGCGTCACCTCTGCTTCGCAGAGGCTCGCACTGGTTCTACTCTATATGCCTTACTTATTCTCGCCTAATAATGACTTTGAAACTCACCGCGCAATGCTGACTATCGCGAATAAAATGTAAACAACTATTCATTCGAAAACCTTTTTTTATATAAGATCTGTGATTTTGCGTAGATGTAACTTCTCGCAGAAGAACAAATGCAAGTTTGAATAGGTTTTGAAACATTTTTTAACTTGGTAGTCGCCATGAGGACAATAGTTACCGTGAGCTACATCTCTATGCAAAAATCTTCTCAAATGCTCAGGTAAATCCACGGCGGATTGACCATTTACACGAACACTTCTTTTTGGCGTTGTTTTCGTAAAGTAGCGAACCTTTAGTCACTTTTTGATCTAAAGTCTATGGCTTACACATCAACCTGCTGAACACATCCACGGCTTTGCAAAAATCGTTGATACGGACCCAGTTTTGCGAGCCAGAAGCCAAGTGGATCCGTCTGACGCGCAAATTCTGAGGGACCCATCCAGCGAATCCGTTCGTGCTTTTGTATGGTGGAGTTCTACGCTGGTAGCATGCGCTGTGCAAAATTTGAGCTCTGAATGTTGGCTGGAACCCGCTGTATGATTTTCCTTACAGACAGACAGACAGACAGACAGACACACACACACACACACACACACACACACACACACACACACACACACACACACACACACACACACACACACACACACACACACACACACACACACACACACACACACACACACACACACACACACACAAAGTCACGTAAACACCCTTAGCCCGTTATTATAAGTTATGATAATTATGAACATTATCTATTACTATTAATATTATTATTATCGACTTCATCGATGTTGCACAAAAATTTCGCTACCGTGACTTGTCTACCTCCATAAAAATATTTAGCTCACTTTCAAAGTAATCTCAAGGAGTGAAAGCTTAGTGTATTAATTTTCGGACACATATGCCCAAAAATGACTAGGTTTAAGTTAATTTCGCCTTCTTTCGCTGGGAATAACAGCTTTCAACAGCGACCTTAGTATTTTTTCTTTCCTTCCTCTTGTGAAGGAGATGTGCGCATTTGCGGGGACGATGTTGCAACGTCATTAACCCGGTGAACACACATTTCAAATACAAAAAGCCATGACATTTATGAAGGGACACTCCGCAAATATGGAAAACATTAGCTCAGTATTAGAATCCATGTAACATACGTTTGCCAGTAACCTTTCTCTCTTCAAGAAGGCCAAAAAGCATTTACCACGTTTGTTGCGAAATCAGACTACTCACTCGCAAAAAAGGATTGCAATGACTTGCACAATGACATCTTCCCCCGTAAGCACCATTTCAGGTGTAGAAATTAGCATAGCCATGATCTGTCGGACTTTGTGGAAGACGAAGACGTCGAAACGTTAGACCTCGAAGAAATCACCAAATATCACCTAAGAAATCTGCCTGTCACAAAATTATTCGACAGTGCTTGTATTTTGCATCCCATAGAATTGTTCTCATGGGTACCATCAACGTGGCTGGCTTTCAGTCGTTTCAACACATTAACGTCAGGAAATTTAAAGCGCTTATTCAAACTTGACATTTTAAAACGATTGACAGGCTCATGATAGTACCTATGGGAACAATTCTGGGGCGTGCACCATACTATCTTTTCGATGAGGTATTCATACACATAAGAAACTACCTTTGACAAATTTCTTCTTCGCTTGTCCTTAGACTATCAACAAAGCAAATAAGTGATATCAAATTAGCACCCTCTGATCGACCAGAGTCGTAAAGCCACACCTTTCTGAGTTTACCGAAAAGCTATGTGTCTTTGCTCTGTTCTTGTAAGCAGTGGTAATCAAGGCATGACGAGTCGTCGTGCTGATAGCGTGATTTCAGTCGCGATAAGGCTGAAATGTTTTATAATTAAGCCCACCCATTCGCCGAAATCATTCCAACAGCACGCCCGATCTTAGAATTAGCACCTATTTTCATTTCCTTTCTCGTCATCTCTCACCAAGTACCTATTCTTCGAGAATTCATTTATTACAGACTTCACTTCAGAGTCAATAAAGTAGCTATTTGCAGATGTCTGTGACAAGCGATACCACCCGTCCTCCACTGGTTACTCAGAAGAGCGATGCCGAAAAAAGGAAAAACTCAATTAAGCGAAAGGTGAGACGTATTTTTCTTCGAAGGTAATTGCTTGTTCAGTTAAACCACTTTGTTCGTTGAAAACTTTTTCGGGCTATGGAAGTTGGCTAAATTGGCTTCAGCCAAATTTTACTTGAGTCAAGGAAGGTCATTATTAATTAGTGAGGAGTGTGCGTGCTTGTAAAGTGAGAAGTGAGTGACAAGGCTTAGAACGAATCTTAAACTTGCCTTGTCTATGGGAGACGGCCCTTCTGAACCGCTAGCATTAGCAGCCTAATTACTGCGCTTCTCTGATTGGTCGGTGTTGCTGCGGTTTGGGTAGGCGAGAGCTATGCTGTCGTTAGAGGCGACTGAATTGGACTGCAAAGGCATACTCATGATAAATAATCAAACAAGATTTCGATTTCCATGAAACTCGAAAATGTTTTATGTGGGCGGCTAAGGTAAATTTTCAGCTTACACGTGCAGACTTCATGGCGTTTTGAAAACTGAGAAGAGCGAAGAAATCACGAAATGGCCTAAAAACATGCAACCTTTCCAACTTTTTGTCAACTTTTTGTCTTCATAATTCAAGCTCCTCACTATCATTATTTGTGCGCCTCACTTGCTTTGGAATGCTCAGAAATATTTGAGAACTCTGCTAGATTATAAGTATAAGTAATTAGCGCCGCCCGGGCAGAATAATTAGCGCTAGGACGTAGCGGTTCAGAAGGGCATACACCCCTTGTCTATAGACAGTTTCTTGGTTTAAAATGAGCCGTTGCTCCTGGCAGAACAAGGACCACAAGGATGCAACTTTGTGGCAGTATCGAGTGATTAAGCTATGTGACCACATATTTGCGAGGAACAGAACAGATACAGACAAAGTCTGGAAATTTAGCGCATTTTTTCTTGGTTTCTCGCCATCAGAAAGATGCAGCAAGTCTATGCTTAAGTTTCTGATGGGGATAGTATATGCGTAAACGAGTAGGAAAATCGCAGAAATTTAAACTGAGATACGATTACTTTTATTTTTTCCAAAATTTCTGAGATTATTTATTTTGGAGTTTCCAATTGTACTATTCGCCATTTTGGAGGACTTGCTCTGATATTTCGAATGGTACCTCGCGTCCTATCGGGATTACACGAAAAACTACTTGTGTGGTGAAAATTCAGATATGAGAAAACTTGCGGGGCAACCTAATATCAATAACAAACCTTATACAGAGAAACTAAGGATAGGAAAGATCTTGTTATTTCGTGATTGTTGCACTATCGATAATTGTGGCGTACTGTTGCATACGGAATCATGAACAGTGCGTCCGAAATTAGCTCAATCGTAACCAAAGTAAAAATAAAAAATCAACATGAGCAAGCTTTACATTCGATATTCTTACGTATTACAAATCAAGAAAAGCATTAAAATTAAGATTTTCTAAAATTCTAACGATATTTTCATATTCGTGGAGTGTTAATAGCAAACAAGCTAGCTGTGTTGTGCACGAGTTTCGTTATGCTTCCTCGTTCGATCACATCATTTTGATCACTGATCAATGCTGATAAAGCTGTCGGCAGAGAAAGAAAAGCCTGTTATCAGTGTTGATACTGCTCTTACCTCGAAAATGCTCATGAACAGTAGCCTTCAATGTGGATGTTTATGATTGTCTCACCTCAGTACGGCTTCACGGGCACAGAAAGTAATGGTTCGAGTCCTCACAACTGCAGTACCCGGTGTGAGTTATGGATAATGGGGTACTAGGTCGGGAAGAAGTGCTTAAACACTTTTGTATGAATATGCAAAGTTTAACTTCAGTCGCAACATAGATTCTAAGTTTACTGCACCTAGATAATGTTTCCAATACATTTCATTCTGCTGGGTCTATTGCAGCTTATGCGGAACCAAGATAATCTAATAAAGAAAAAGGTTGGCTCAAAATGCGGTTCATTCAGAGAGAATTTTCTTTGGTATATGAAGCAAGAAAATGTTATGTCGTCTTGTATGGAAATGTACTAATGCCGCACTAAAGATAAATTACTTCTTCCGCTCACCAACTGCAACATTTCTGTGGTGTTGTATACAATTCTCTAAAGTTCTCTTTCCTAATATCTCCTCCATGACGAAGGCGGTCGCCCAAATAGGTTGAGAGCATGCAAGGCTGACGCGCACGTGGCGCGCGGGCAATTGTCAACCACGGGTCGCGCGCACGCTCGCGTGGATGACCGCTGACCGAGCGTGCGCGCGCCCTGTGGTTGACATTTGCCCGCGCGCCGCGGCCTTGCATGCTTTCAACCTATTTGGGCGACCGCCTTCGTCTTGGAGCAGATATTAAAGACCCTCATATGGCCTTTATGCACTTTATCCATGTCTTTACTGCTGCAGACTTTGCTTTAGTGCTATCTTCCGCATCTGTATTTGGCATTTGACCACGACGGCATCAATACAGAAGGCTTTTCTTTTTTTCATATCATTTTCTTTTTCCGATTTTTCTTGGAGACCCGAATGGAAGCATAGAGGCGCAAAAAAGCTTAAACGTTTTTTGCAGCAACCAGGAGATTTTCTGGTATTTGCGGTAGACTTTCTCTTTATTCATAACCTCATTATAATTGCAAGCCAACAGTCTAGCTTAATTAAGGGTACTTTAAAAGTTATCTGCATCTTCTGAGTAGAAACCTCCATCGTTGGGCTGGTTCTATTATACAATCATAGAATAGAACATAAGACAAAGGTAATGTTGGAACTTCATCAAAGCTTTTGTGTTGCTGAGTATAGCTCAAAATCTTATGAAGCGGAACAACAACAAAAATACCTGCCAAATCTATAAATTCTTGCTTGGAGAATGGCAAGGACCTGCGATTGTGTAATCAAGCATCAATAGACTTTGCTACTACGCTGATATTAGTGGCGACAATGTGTCCCCTCCCTCATTCCTCCCCTCAATTCTCATGGATTTGAGTGGTCTAATTTTGAGCAGCATAATAAAGGGAATCTGTCATTATTTGCGCTACTCATTTATGAAAAACTATGCAGTTGCACTTGTGTAAATCTAAGTTCAGATTGTCGTCGGTCCTGCGATTACCCCACGTTACGAATACACTATGAACAAGCAGCGATCAAAATCGATTACGCACTCCGATTCAAAAGATAAACACTCAACAGCATCAGCAACACCTACTACTTCAACCCATGAAATAAAGCCAAAAGGATTTCTTTCGTCATTCTAAGGAACTTGCCTGCTTTACGACTTTTGGTTTATAATATCATGCATATTCTCTCGTAATTTCACCTGTTTCACCTGATCTCCATGATGTGATTCATTAATTTATCTTGATTAATTGACTATACATTCATGTACAACTTGTCACTTTATGCTTGATTATCATTGAATAACCGTATAAACTTGTCTCCTCGCAATACCCATATTGAACATAGTCGGTGCAGGATTGGAAAGTGCAGCAAGTAAATTATACTATTGAGCTTCAAACACCAAACAGATTTCCCTGCATCGACTCTGCAGATACATTCCCTAGCATGTACGCGAATTATGGTGCAGCTATCAAACTGTGATTTACCTCAATTATGTAATTGAACTCATGGGAACGAATAAAGTAGGTTTAAGTGAGTTTCTAAAATGAGATGTATACTAGTATAATCATTGTATAATGTATACTAATCAAGAGTTTCACACGCTGATTGGAGGACGACTTTCCATAGCTGCTCGGCGGTTCGTTAGAGAAACTTAGAGGATTTTCTGTTTATTCCATGGGCAAGTTCTGGCTTTGCAGCTAGTGAGCATACATTTAAACTAACCGAATTCCCCAAGCTTTAACTCCAAGCATACGGTCCGTTCCAATCACACTCAGCCAAAAATTGGCATGGCGGAAATTTGTGTCGCGAAGGATCTGCGCCATGTCTACTAGCTTGTCTGCTCCCACTCCAATGTCTTCGCTCCCCCCGACAGCGTACATACGCAGCGCAAACCCCTAGCGCTACGAGCGCGCAAATTCACACCAACTATTTGGCTTGATCCAACTGGGACAGACTGTATATAACTTTTCAATCGGCCGAACTTGCTATGCTGCTCTTGTAAGTAAGACAATAATTATTCATTCTTTGTTTAAAGGCAGCAAGTAAGGCTCTTCTTACCCAGTCCATCTGGCAGAGCTTTTGAAGCACTATCGCTGCATATGCAGCTTACTTAGATTTTTTCAATTATACAAATTATAATTATAAGTGGTTTGGTATATTAGGGATGAAATATACCTTTTTTCGGTTTTTGACTTTTTCTTAGAGAAAACTGAAAAGTCACCTATTGTATGTGTCACATACACAAGGATTTCAAAGTCGTTGCGCAAAGAGTGCGGTAGAAGTCTCTCCGGCTACTTCAACCATGAGAAAGGATTGTTAAGCAGGCTTAGGATGATAACACCAACCTGTTAAGCGAAGTTTGTGCTCAAGGCATATGCACTGCCACAAAATGATTATTTGAAGGTGTTCCTCTAGAAATGAGCGTTCCCCCCCCCTTTAGAAACAGTTTTCCCATTGCGCCCTGTAAACTAAGCAAAGTGGCCGTTACAGTTTCGCAACACTTTTTTATATCTTCATTATAGTGTTACTGCAAGGCAGAGTGATATTTTATTTTTTTTACTATTCTTAGACAGAGTAACATAAACAAATGATGAGATTGGTGGTTACACTGTTGCGTCCAGTTCTGGTTACTATTTGCTGGACAAAACATTGAACTTCGGACTGTGGACAGTCAGGCCTCATAGCGATATGTCAGTACAGCAACTGTACTGGATTGACACGTTGATGCCTGTGCTGCGCAACGGTGAGCGGTAGGCAGTCTTTTCCTATGGTCAACGCTGTGCAATGGTGCGCTGCCCCTATTTATCGATTCTTGTGCCAGTTGTTTTGATTCGTGTTCGAATAATCAATTTAGACTCGAAAGTATTTCATATTTGCCTCGCTCTTCTTTTTGGTTAATTCCGGCCTACTCCGTTGCCAACGCGAGAACTCTCTTCTGTGCTCAAAGTGCATAAAAGAGGTCATAGTGATTAAGGAACCTCAAGTAACCTTAACCTCGGCCTCGCTCCCCCTCAGTGGGAAGCTCCGCCCACTTTTGAAAATTTCAAAGCTCTCACGAATTTTTAGAATTCGAGCAGATTCCGCATTTTTTGCTGAGTGGACGGAGCTTGCCACAAAGGGCGGGGCTCTCCCTTACACTTCTAAATTCATAATTTACGCGTCGGCGCATGTAAATATACTGCAGCCAAGCGTAGAAGTGTATGACATCTCGTCTATAGAAATGGCTTTTCGTCAATTTGTTGATGCAAGCTTAGTGCATATTTTGCAATTTTCACAATCAATACATATAATTTGTTGAGATTCAAAGATATGAGAAGTTACAAAAATGCGCGACTACAAAAAAGTTTAATTTTTGGGTTTTTCGCTATTTCTTCGGTCACAAATATTGAATTGTGTACTTTGGCTGTTAGAAGGCAATCTCGCTTTCCACTCTCAAAATATGGATCGACTGTACTGCGATGCTTCTTTATAAAAATTTAGCTGCGAATATAAAGGGCACTATTGGAGAATGACTTCCATATTTTAACCTGAAGATAAGTAGATGAACTTGGTTAGCATTACATTGCATAAGGTATTTGTTCCCCATGTATGTGATACGTCTTGTTAAATCCATTTTATACCTTTCCAGTTCGAGCCTAAAAAGGGGACAGGAATTTTTGGTGTATTGAGAGTTTTTCCACGGAAGATGTAAGAGTTACAAAGGTCGTGTCAGAGCGGGTAGGTGTAGGAAAACACGATAAATTACTCATAAACGCTGTAAAAAACTTGCTGAGAAATTTCTACTCACATGAAGAAAAAGCTATTAGAAAATAAGCTACAAAACACATGCATTAACTTGGCATCAACTCAACAAATGACTCGCAGGTATTGTTGCTCTGTGCCTTGACTTCGGGCAGAGATCAAAATGGTACATGATTTGCCGAGAATAAAGTGTTGGCATAACTCCAGCAGTCTCCCAATTTGCCTCACAAGGAAAAGATACTAACTTAGATTCGCCTTCTAAGATGAGACACATATATCTAGAATCAGCTTTGCATGCTGATCCCAAGTATGCTATTCCTAGCTGCTTAGCATTATTCCGAAGCGAGTTATGGTCTCTTTCTATGCAAAGTTTGCGTGCTCCTCGACCTACTGATGCTACGATGTCGACGTCTAAGTGGTTTAGCAATTGTATAATGCTCCCTTTTAAGGCCGAAAGAATTAATATAATGCTAGTCTAACATCTTAGCACTTATTTCGAGCAGATTCTTATCTATACGCCGTCTTAAGACATTTAGAGGTTTGTTAATTACTCACAACAGCAAGTCCATAACTCGCTCCGGAATAATGCTAAGCAGCTAGGGACGGCATATTTGGAATCAGTGTCAAAAGCTGATTCTAGATATATTTGTCTCATCTCAAAAGGCGAATCTAAGTTAGTATCCTTCCCTTGTCAGTATCTTGACACCCAAAAATAAAATTAGCAGAATTGATACTACAACAATCAAAGTACGAGTGTAGTCTTCCATGACGAAGTGAATTGATTGGGTTAAAACAAATAGTAGAAATGGAGAACTTACAGTATGTTTGCATAAGCACTAATTATTTGTCTAATGAACACAACTGATTGTACAGTTTATCGATTTGTACCAGATATGACGCCACATCAAAAAAAACGTATGCTGAATAATTGAAATGTAGTTAGCCGAGCGAGCAGACGCCTGTCTGAGAATTGTTAGCGTAAGCACATGCAAATTGTAGATCGTAATATTTGAAGTAGGGGTTGCTCTAAAGCACAAACATATTATTTAGTGTGAATACAATACAAGTAAAATGTTCTTCGAAAACTGTTTATTGCGTTCAAATGAATTTCTTACCTTGATGGACTCCAAGATAGCAAATACGTACATTGCCATTTCGTAAAAGTCGCCGCTGCAATGCTCACAATTACTTACGGTCAAATAATTAAAACTACTTTCTCAGAAAGTTTTCAATGAGCATACCTTGCGTCAAAAGTGTAATAAGGATATTTCAGTTCACGCTCTTTCCAACTTGGACCCAACCAAACTTTGTCTTGCAATAGTTCTTTGGCACGTCCTGCTAGCTTACAGTCAAAAACCTAAAAAAATATGCGAAAGCTAGCCGAAATCTATATATCTCGCTAACCAGTCACAGTCACTATTTCTCGATTACGAAAGGATTTACTTTAGAATTCGGGTAATAATCCATCAAAACTAACCACTTGTGTCGGCCTTTTCCACGTTGAAATTCTGAATTTCTTATCTTTGAACCATGTTTTGAGTAGCTTATTGAGCTCGAGACTTTTCTCCATGCGGCCTTCGAAGACTTTTTCACAGTTTTCAATCGCCGTAGCCTTTGGGCGACTTCCTACCTCATAGGACGCTTTGATACGCTTCCCCGTAGAAACGACGTGGGTGAGAGAGAGTGCCTAGAAAATACCTCGACTCTTTAGGAAAACAGGCATTGAAACTTACTAGAAAGACGAAGAAAAAGCTCTTCATAATTTTTGTCACTTTACTTATTTCGAACGTTATTTATACCGCAAGGGGCATTGACATTGTAGTCTATGCACTAGTGCACCTGAGACTACATCGTGATTCATTTGGATAGACTCTTAACATAATTTACTCAACCCCCTCACCCTTCTCTCTACACGATAGTTGCGCATTAGGATCATGAATGAGGCTGTCTCTAAAAAAAATTTCATAACGTACTATAAATTGCACCATACGCTTATTCTTCTTTATTTACATACCAGTGCGTCACCTCTGCTTCGCAGAGGCTCGCACTGATCTTACTATCTACGTGCTTTTTTGGTACTCGCGTTGATAGCTTTGAAACTCACCCCTCTACGCTGGCCATCACGAACAAATTGTAAACAACTACTCATTCCGAAATCTCTTCCAAGTATGATCGGTCATTTCGAGGGGAGGAACTCTCTGGGCCGAAGAATAAGTGCAGTTTTGAACTACTCACCGAATTTATTATGGCTTGATAGTTGCCCTAACGACGAAGACTAAAGAGTGCTAAATCTCTGAGCAAAAAACCTTTTGATTTCTTAGGCAAAACCTTCACAAATCGACCATCTATGCAATCACTATTTTTGGCGCCGTTCTCGCAGTGAAGTGCGATTTTTGATTACTTCTTAAGATCAATCCAATGGCTCGAAGAATACATGCTAAGGAACTCCATAGCTTTGCAAAACGTCTGACTTCAGGCCCAGTTTTGTAGGGTAAGAACCGCGTGGACCCGCTTAGCGCACTGTTTCCAATGGTTCCTCCTATCGGATCGCCTTGTGCTTTTGCACAGTTGATTTACATTTTGATAGGGTGCCACGGCCAAAATTCTAGCTCAAGACCTTTGCTGGAACTTGCTCTATGAATTTCGTGACAGACAGACATTCAGACACACACACACACACAAAAACACGCAACCCTTAGCCCGTTATTATAAGTCATGATAATAGCTTTTAGCAGGGAATGTTTACCAAGCAAGCAATGTTGATGTAAGTACCGAGATAATACCCATTTCGCTGAGGCTGAAGCATAGAATGTAGCATTTGCAGATAACCTCTCAGATGCTACTTCCTCGCCACAGGCAAAAAGCATGCCAAGGACACTTCAGAAATGAATTAAGACTGCTAGATGAACTTAGTACGTTCAAGACAATACGACCCACCGGTGGGTCGTACTTGTACTGCCATTTGAGACATACGACCCACCTCTGGGTTTTTACTACTAAACACTACATCCTGTCACGGTAGGAGTCTGCTAGTAATTGAACACTGTAGGCCTTCCGCAATTCTAGTGCTTTGCAGAAGCAAAGAAATGAGTTTTGTGAGTGCGTATCGTTACGTGCGGGTTGCCCATTGGAAAACGTCGCGCGCGACAGGCTGCCAGTGACCGCATTCAGAAAATTCGGCTAGCATGATTCTCAGCACACACTTTCTCAATCTATCATCCTTTGTTGAGGTTCACAGACTATTCCCATATTAGTTTTGCTTACTTATTCAAAGTTACCCCACAAAACTTGTAAAATTAGCACTTTGGAGGACAAAAAAGACAAAAGCTGTTGAATGTAGAAGACCAACAGTATAGAAGAAGCATTGATGATCTAAGTGTATAGATTTGACAAGTTTGCTGCACTACTTCTCCCCGCCTGCTGCCGCGTTGCGACATTTTCCAATGGGCAAGCCCGCATGTAACGAGCGCCCCCCGAGTTTTGCAAGAATTTTGATGAACAGTAGGGATCTATTGTATACATACAACGCTTGTATACAGGGTGTCCCAAAAAGATGTGCACACTGTTTGTTCGTCAATAACTCTCTTGCTTGAACAACTTTCGCCGAACGTGAGGTATCATTGTATAAAGCGAGGTTCATCTTAGATTTACAGTATGGAGCGAATCACCAATTGCTTTCAATTACTGCAGGATTACGGTAAAAACTTCAAAAAGGGTTTTAGGCCATTGAGAACAATTTTTTGCCTTAGAAAGGACACCAAACAAGCCAGAGACACTCGTGCTGGACCAGTCGAGGTCGGTGATTCTAAATATGAAATTTGCAATTCACTGTGATGCTTCTTTCTCAAAAATTTCAGGTCCAGGATATGCTGTTTTTCCAATATTCGTCAGAAGTGTGATTAGACCATTGAAAGAGCCCAAAAATCTGATGAAAAGTTATGTGAAATCAGCACGCCTGAAAGCTCTCCTAAACAAATTTCCAGATTTTTTTGGAAATTTTTCCATCAAAAGACCTATTCCACAGTGGTGCTGTATGCTGAATTCATACCGCAATCCTGCAGTAATTAAAAGCGATTGGTGATTCGCTCCATACTATAAATCTAAATTGAACCTCGCTCTACAGTATGGTTCTCAAGCTCGTCAAAAGACATGAAAACAAGAAATTATTAGCTATCAAACAGTGTGCACATTTTTTGGGACACGCTATATACAACTTATTCCCAAGTCGAAATGGTAAAAAAAATTTTTTTACAGCTGAGCCAGCTCGTTCCTCAGATGCATATGAATACTTCGCAACAGAGAGTCTCTCTTAAAAGCAGTGTCCAGACAAAATCTGGGCGCATGGCCTTTTTGCCTGGAAATTGACGAGGGGGTCCTGACTAAGGAACTGCCCAAAGGGCAGCGCAAATTGCTCATTCACGGCTGAGAAATGCGTCCCCGAAAACCTCGCGCCACGCTGTGATCGTAACCCAAGAACGACCTCGCTCATTTTTACACCACCATCGCACTGGGACCCATCCTAAGTGTTACAGTCACGGTGCAGCCGCGGAGTGTATATATGGATAGATTCCTCAGCCGTGAATGGATTATTTGCGTGCGGTTTGGACAGTGCCTTAGCTAGAACCTCCTCGGCAGGCAAAAACCAATATGCCCAGATTTGCCTGGGCACTGCCTTTTAATGAATGGTCCCATTTGATCTGCAAATCGCTTAGCAAAAGGCTTACTCGGACTTTGCGAGCAATTAGTCTGCGAGTATGCCAGGCCCTTTAGCTGCGGATGCATAGTCGCACGCAAAAATGGTGACAGACTGTAAAAACGTGTTTGTAACTTTAACATAAGGTTGCGTCAAAAGTTTATTTGAAATTCTGTCTTAATTCAATTTAATCATCATTGCAAATGTAGTTGATTGTAATACAATCCATTATTCGGCAGTTGAAAATGTGCTCAGAAATTGATGCACCACCTATAGGATTTTTTTCCGGAGTACCTAACGCTCCACAAATTCTGCTCCTTATGTAGTCAGTGGTCGACTAAGCTGTAACACTAGCTTTGAATCTCATGAAGTTTTCACAAATAACGAAAAAAATCGAGATAATTCAACTGATTCAGTCGGAACATCTGATTTTTTAATACGTTGACGACGGGCCATTTTTTGAAGGGTCTGTCCCTGTGGACGAATCGTTTCCGGACATTTTCACAGCCAGCTGCATGTATGTATGCATGCATCTATGCGTGAGATACAAAAATTCAAGTGGGCAGGGCAGCTTCTCTCACGCAAACCCGGCCCACTTTTCAAAAATGCTGGAAATTGCCTAAAATCAATGATTACATGCAAATTCCGGCACTTTCGAAAAGTTGGCGGCGCTTACCACTGTGGGGGTGGAGCCTGCATTACGGGGGGCGGGGTCAAAATTAACACGTTGACGACGCCATTTTTTTTTGAGGTCTGTCCCTGTGACGAGACGTTTCCGTGCATCCCTACGCCAGCCCGCATGTATGTATGCATGCATCTATGAGGAACAGGGTCAAGCGTGTGATGCGACTGTCGCAACGGGGGGTCGTAAAGGGGGCCTACGGTGAAGGGGGGGGGGGGGTCATAAGAGGGGGTAATTTGGATAAAAAAACCGTACGATTGAAAGCAAATCAAATAGCAAGTGATTATTACATGTCTTAACAATAAATTCATGGAATGCCGTGTACCAATGTATCAAATAGAAACGAGTGAATAATAATTTGAAAACATTTGCAAGCGTAGAAATTCGCTTCATTTGCTGCACTTCTGAAAGATTATGACTTAGTTCGTTATTTTTTTTTTTATGGGAATCGCTATTTCTCCCGCAAATTATTGTCTCAAACGGGGATCGAACCCTGCTGGCATGACTAAAATCCAAAAAATAAGCACTTTCAGAAGCTCAAATGCTACTAAAGGCATGTATGTGTGATAAAGGTGTTGGATGCACCGATTGGTATAGACATCCTGCTTCCGAAGGCTCACTGAAGACTCGCACACTCGACAAAAGCGCTCATGTAGATCAACGATGACAATCAATGATTCGTAAATCTTTTTGTAATGCCAATTATGTGGCTCTTACAATTTATATGTACTTTAGATAAGCCCTGGCACTGCTGTGCGAAATTTGGTATTATTTTATAAACTGCGGATTTTCTTATGATTTTATGTATGGTAACAAATAATGAGTAAAGGGGGTCGTATCTGCGCCTGATCTAAATTTCTCCGGAGCTATTGAAGCTTGTTAGCTGCAAACTTGCTGTAATATGAGGCCATCCCTCTAGTTTTTATCCTAAGAATTTCAGGCTGTTTTATAATTTGTCTGATAAGTTACAAATTTTTGAGCTCAAAAATCCCAGTTTTTGCTTTTTAGGATCGCATCTAAATTTGCGAGCGCCTGATCTAAATTTTTTCGAGCTCACTGCTCGTCAAGGACTGAAACTTTTTCTATGAATAGTCTGGGCACTATGCTACAGAACCTGTTCTTTGCAGCCTCTCAGTCTTTTCCTGACCTTAGTCACGAATTTTCAAACTACCGTGCTCATGCACGTTTTTGACGTCGTTCTGGACAGCGCTAAAGCGGTTTTTTTCGCAGGAAAAACGGTGGAATAGGTAAGAACTGAGCTTCTTAGTCGAAAACATCTTTTGTAGTTCAAGAATGCCATTTTGTTCTCCGTGTAAAAATTCGTCTCGCATACGAGAATCGAAAATGCTAGCCTGAAGTACGTCTGAAAATTCAAAAGTAAACTTGCAGAATCTCAAACATTATTGAAGGTGTGTATATGCGGGGGTCGTACGAATGAGTACCTTCAAGGGGAGGGGGGTCGTAAATGAAGGTCCAGGATCGCATCAACACGCTTGACCCTGATGAGGAAATACAGGGTTGGCCATAAATATAGCGACAAGGTTTTCACCTTGTATCTCAGAAAGGAAAAGTGCAAACGAGTCATGAACATAACATTTATTAAGTAACAACTGGTACAATTAACAATCATAAGTTACTTCTCGATTCAGGCACCTTTTGCACGGACGACAGGGCAAAGTCGCCTGGGAAAGGCGTCGACGACCGGACGCAGAGTGCCTCGTCGATTTCGTCCCATTCTCGGATGAGCGCTGCCTTCAGAGAATCCAAATTGGGGTGGGGAATGGCGCAGGCCTTGCTCCCAAGGTAGGACCACAAGATGTAGTCCAGTGGGTTCAAATCCGGTGACGATGCCGGCCATTCTTCTGCCTGGATGAAGTCGGGGAGTTCGCTCTTGCACCACGCTTGGACGACCTTGGCCTTGTGGGCGGGCGCCGAATTTTGCTGAAATGTCCACGGGTGGCGTGTGAAGTGGGAATTCGCCCACGGGAGTAGAGCATCTTCCAAAATCGTCTTCAGGTAGTAATCTTTGTCGATTTTGACGCCGGGGTCGACGAATGACGGCCGGGACGACTTTCGGACGGCCCCTCGACGACCTTCGGCGTGCGAGCAGTACGAGGTCTTCCACTTCTTCGGTGGTCTTGGAGTCCACCAAGGTCTCGATAACGTTGGAGTGTGCGATACACGACGCTGCGGTGGATGCCGAGGTGCTTACATAGCGATCGTGGCGGGTGGGCGGCCGGCTTGGTGCAGACGAAGGATAGCGGAACGATCAGGAGAAGGCTTCACCATTTCACTATAAATGGACCAAATTTAACCAAATTTTAACAGGAGTTAGAAAAAATGATGAGTTTAAAAAATCGATAAAACTGGCGCGCTATGTGCGCGATAGAATAGTACGCTAATCGCAGTAAATCTTGTCGCTATAATTATGGCCAACCCTGTATAAATGTGCCAAGCCCCGCCCTCATGTGGCTCCGCCACTCGGCCAAAAATGTCGGAAATTGCCCAAATTTTAAGAATTCACGCGAATTCCGCCATTTCTGAAAAATGGGCGGGGCTTGCCCTTAGGGGGCGGAGTTTCCGTGACGGTGGGCGGGGCCTAGCTAGAATTTGCTTGAGGTCTTTGCGTTCATCTACGGCTTCATCCATGCTTTCTATGAACAAAAAGCTTTCTTGTGAGGGGCATAGGAGTGGGCGGAGTTTGCAAAATGGGGCGGGACTGATACATGAAGTACTTCTGAGTCTATGTTGATTGTACGAACAAGAACTGAGACGATCGGACAGATATTGAAAATAAGGCCGCCGCGCACCATTGCGCGGCACTGTCGTCAACGTGTTAAGATTATTTAAGGTTCCCCCGTCATCTACGAGCTTTTCTACGCGATTTTAGAATGAAAGTTTTTTGTAAAAGGCAGTGGAGTAGGCGGAGTTTGCCAAAGAGGGGGCGGGACCAACATGAGATACTTTTGAGCCTAAATTGATTATGTGAATATAAATTGGAACCATTGTGCACATTAAAACTGATATTTAGGGTGTCGCGCACCGTTGAGCGACATCATCCACAGGGACAGACTGCCTGTCGCGACAATTGCGCAACACCTCGTCAACGTGCTAAACATGTACAACCTAAGGCTAAAACTGTCTGAGTTACGGCTGTCACATTCGAAACTGTTAATTTAGCTTAATGAGTTATGCGTACATGCTGTAGCTTTCAGCCAAACTATTGTCTTGAAGTGACTCAGCTTCCATTGAAGAGAGATCCTGCTTTGAAATGCGCAGTACGGCAACTACGAATTGTGTACAACTGCTTTTTATCAAATTGCATGTACACGAAATCATAAACAGCGAGCTGGTATGCCGTACACGAAATCACAAACAGCTAGCTGGTATGCCTGGCTTCGGCCGCACCGTGTTTTTAAATGCCACAACGAGAGCAAATCTGGTGCTCAACTCTAAAGGCTTTCATAGTGGAGGGTAGTAGGAATAATTACGGATAGGTACACAACGTGAAATCCAAGTATTTGGAGTTTCGAAATATAAAGCTTTCTTTTAAGCTGCGATCCCCTCCCCGCGGGGATGTTAGCGCATGCGGCCCTAAGTGTCATTCCTGATGGAATCTCCATTCCCCCTCCCCCCCCCCCCCAAACTTCTTCGAGTTCTCTTATTTTTGAACTCATAGATTAAATCAGCAAGACATCACAACTTACATTTGTGAAGTTACTTGGCAGACATTACAACTTTTGAATCTAGAACTTTTTGAGTTCGTAAACTACCCCTTTCTCGGCAAGGTGCTTTTTTGGAAACATGCGCAATTTTTTTCAACTAAAAAAATCTTACAGTCGAAACTCCCCGTTCGCGTTCTATAGAGGCCGAACTGTCAAACATCCATGAAATTTTTGCCGAACTGGCCTAAAATTACTCACTTCCCAGCTCATCTCAGTAGGCTATTAGTTGTTTCTTTTGAATCCTATCATCGAAGCGTGCTTCTGCTTTCAGCTGCTGAGCTAAGCAAATCTTTGTTGCTCATACGATTTTTGGATTGCGCAATATTTTGGCAAAAAAAACTGCGGTTCAAATGTGCAACTTTACACTTCTGAGTTCAGCAAGGTTTCAGCTGATGGTGAAGCCACTGCATTGATTCTATATTTCTTTATACACAACTGGAACGTTAACGGCAGTTTCTGACGGCGAGTAGTTTTTTTTCGTCAAAACTTTCCAGACCTCGACTTCCGCGGAAGCTTTCTACCTGTCCCACTTCCTTCATCTCAGCCCAAGGTAGGCAAAAAACTCTGTTTTGTCTGGTTTCGCAGTATGGAAATTTTGCACAAACAATTGAGATGAGCGAATTTCCGATTATTCAAACTGAGAAGATTAATGAGAAAAATTCGCATCTACGGTCGCTGCTGGAGTACATTCGATATGAAAGTGGAACTTGTCTGATACTATAGAGCAATACGTCTTCAGAAAGCTGTGAGAGGCTGTAGTTTGGTGGAAATGTAGTTAATCGAATCGATTCTACCGCTTTAAGAGTTGTGTGAAAAGGCACACTGATCAACAACTCAAGGAATAGGCTCAAGCAAAAAATGAATCATCAATTTGGGTGCGATGGGTGCATTCGAGACAGACAGAATTGTTGACATCGTCTCGGCAGCGTGACGTTAGACGTATAGACCAGCTGGTCCTTTAGAGCCTTCAAAGCCTTTAGAGTTGAGCACCAGATTTGCTCTCGTTGTGGCATTTAAAAACACGGTGCGGCCGAAGCCAGGCATACCAGCTAGCTGTTTGTGATTTCGTGTACGGCATACCAGCTCGCTGTTTATGATTTCGTGTACATGCAATTTGATAAAAAGCAGTTGTACACAATTCGTAGTTGCCGTACTGCGCATTTCAAAGCAGGATCTCTCTTCAATGGAAGCTGAGTCACTTCAAGACAATAGTTTGGCTGAAAGCTACAGCATGTACGCATAACTCATTAAGCTAAATTTCAGTTTCGAATGTGACAGCCGTAACTCAGACAGTTTTAGCCTTAGGTTGTACATGTTTAGCACGTTGACGAGGTGTTGCGCAATTGTCGCGACAGGCAGTCTGTCCCTGTGGATGATGTCGCTCAACGGTGCGCGACACCCTAAATATCAGTTTTAATGTGCACAATGGTTCCAATTTGTATTCACATAATCAATTTAGGCTCAAAAGTATTTCATGTTGGTCCCGCCCCCTCTTTGGCAAACTCCGCCTACTCCATTGCCTTTTACAAAAAACTTGTTTCATTCTAAAATCGCGTAGAAATAAAGTTCACTGAATGTATAAATGTCAATTCTAGATGGATGATCTAAGATGAAATACTTCAAACTGAAGTGTCAAAGTAAAATTTTAACCCTAGAATTTAAGCCAGAAATAATGAAGTTAAAAATTTCAAAAAGAAAAACTTAGTATCATTTTTTAAATACCAATATCAGGTTCAAACCTAAGTTTAGCAGATCTGGTGGCGGGTGGCGTACCGAGGGGGAGGGGGCGCGCCCCCCCCCCCCCCCGAGAACGCGCGAAATTTTCGTAAGTTACTTACATGAGTTATAAAAATGCCCAGTGACTTATTTGTAATTGTAAATAATTAAAACATTTTATAAAATATTTTAAAAATTCGTTTTAGCCCTATACAAAAAATTTTCGAGAGCGTGGTTCTGAGCCCGCAAATATTTTAGGGAGCACACCAAAGAATTTTTCGGAGTGCGTGGCTAACGCCACGCACCTTCGTCGGAAAAAAATTTTTGTCCACCCCCCCCCCGAGCCGAAATCCTGGGTACGCCACTGGTATAGACTGGCATGGTATGGTATGTTATCATTGGTAGTATGTTATATGGTAGTAGTATGTTGGTGATAGATGGTATGTTTTTCAATTTTAATTTTTCATTCTTTAAATAAAATGCTCTGATTTATCACTGCTCCAGAGAGCTAGGAAGTATTACGGTTACTTTTGTCCTACTTGCATATTCAATTTTTTACTTCAGTAAGCGCTCATAACTCCTCTATAAATGTTGTTCATAAATGTTCTGCAGATAAAAAGGCAGATTTGGAGTCGCATTTTATTCCCTTCGATATGGTATACATTCCATCTGAAAAGGAGACTTCGACTAGATATGCTTCCCTTGTTAGGGCTTGGGTTTAAAGTGGAAGCTTGCGACACAAGCTTTCGTTTATGCATCTAACCAGATCTGCTAAACTTAGGTTTGAACCTGATATTGGTATTTAAAAAATGATACTAAGTTTTTCTTTTTGAAATTTTTAACTTCATTATTTCTGGCTTAAATTCTAGGGTTAAAATTTTACTTTGACACTTCAGTTTGAAGTATTTCATCTTAGATCATCCATCTAGAATTGACATTTATACATTCAGTGAACTTTATTTCTTTCAGCAAAAGCAGTTCATCTAGCATTTAATTTATTATCGTAGGAAGGAGTGGGTTTATGAGTACAGGCAAATGCTAAGGACCATCTACCGCTCATTATCTGACGGCCACTGATATGCTGATCTTAAATGACAAAGAATAGAATTATTTGAAAGAGCTCGCACTAAGAGTTGACCAGGTTCTGAAATACATTTCTTTCCATCAATTGTGCATTCTTTGACTCCCACATTACTTTACAAGCTGCGTCTCACGGTATGAAACATCTGCAATGTCTAGGACCTGTCACTGAAGGCACAGCCTCCTTTCTAGAGCACTCAAATTCAACCCACTTCAACAAACAGCTGGTCTAAGGTGTTTTTGATACCTATATTACTCCAGATGGAAGAGGGAATCCGCTGAGCATTCTAGAATGAGGTCTAAGGTAGAACAAATATCGCGTAATCGCTAGTCATAGCGAACGAGCTTTGATCTTGGCATATCGGCAAGTTGCACTACAAACTAGATTTTTATAACCCAGAAAGGCCCTGTGTCATTTTATGCCAATATTTATTAGTAATCAAATAGGTTGCATCAGTCCAAAATTGACCAGCTTGGAAATTTAAAGGACGTCAATCAGAAGCAACAGATGGATGAAATTTAATTTGGAATACATCTTTTCCGATGTTAGAAAGAAGCTGTTTTAAAGGCGCCGTCCACCCAGATTTTCGACTTCCACGTCTTTGTCGTTTCAGGGCCTTCTCATGTCCCTGATTCCGAATATGAAGTTGAGAATCCGTGAAAACCCCGACAATCCCGTTTCGGAGAATCCACAGGCCGGTTTTCCGGAACGGTGATTGGATGGGCGCGCACAAATGGGCGGGCATGGACGGGGGGAGGGCGGGCATGGATGGGAGTCCTCGTGCATCTTCGCTATTCCGAAGCGATTTTCCCGCTTTCGAAACGGCATCTTGCGCCGCGATTTGGGCATTGGAATGATAGGGGGCCCTACTAATGCTGCCAAAAGCTCAACACCCTCAGTTTGCAGTCGACATATACAATACTGACCCATTCTATAAAGTAGCATTATCCACAAAGCATGTGATGCCCTTATTCTACTTTAACATATTTTCTGGCCAAATAAGTTGCAGACCTTTACACTGCTTGATGAGAAATTTTGCTTTTGTGTCTTTGTGCGACAATTTTGATCTCCTACTCAATGTTCACTGTTGTATGGTCTCAGTCAATCCTTCGCTTTCATTCAAAATGGAAATGAAATTATTTCCAGATCTAACATACGAGTAACCAGAACAAATACTATTCGGTTCAGCAAGCAATAGGTTCTGCTATGATCTTTTTTTTATACGGCTTTGATTAGACTTTTGAAATTACAAAAAATTGCTATGGAACTGAGACTATGGAATAGCAGAATTGGAGTCAACTTATATTCGATTTGTAAGATTCTGCGTTAATACAGCCTTGATTGGCTGATCCAGCGAAAACCAAAAAAAGTAGAGCCTCTCGCATATTTTAGGGCCAATTAAAAACTGAACTGGTCACAAGTGGTTCACCTTCCAGCAAATTTCGTTGATCATATAGTTATCGATTCGTTCAAATAGAAATAGCTTTAGCAACGTGATCAACACTTCATATTCTCTGTCACTTTTTCCTCAGGTTTTTAGGAAGCCAAGCGACCTTGAAGGAAAAGGCCAAAGCTGGAAATAGGCTGATTTATGGAAATAGTCCTAGAAGTGCTTATAAATGCGAGCATTTCTCTTAAATGCAATCAGTGGTAAGAAAGAGTAAGCTACTTGAAAATTGACATGCTTGCTGCTTACCATTAGGCTCGTATGCACGGTAACCCGTGGTACGAGGGGATCCATGTATTTAAATGGGGCCTTCTTGAATCAAAATGGAATATCAATGTCAAATGAAACACCAGCAGTCGCCAGTAATCGATGAAAATTTCTAAATGGAACTAAAGTCATTCGAAAATTTTGGCATGTGTAAAAATCTGGCTCTAAAACTTCGCACCACGATGTTCACATAACATGTTGAAATAGCCTCCTATTAAACTGACAAATACTACCACTAACTCATTCATGAGGTTCTACCAATTGGGTATACCTCTATCAGTGTTATCATTCTTCATGTTTAACTTACGTGGCATTTCATTTCAATAGATTTTACATTCACAAGCACGTTTCATTTGCAATTCTTTGCTCCGCTTGTGGTGCTGATGGATTCTGCAAGCACAAGCGAACGCGACTTTCTTCAGCTTGTTCTCAACAAAGAGAAATGCGACAAGATTGTAAGTGGCTATGTGCCTACTTCACGACGCAACCAATTCTTCAGAGCCCAGAAGCACGTCTCATCGTAGTGCATGAACTCATTGAACAGTGCCGAAAGCTTGGAGTAGAGCGTGTTCTGAAGCGTAGTCGAATCAAGTTGGTTTGGTGGAAGTATATCTCATGGGTAGTTGCTATCATGAGAATGGCATGGTTTGCGCGGTTACCAAAATGTAAGCATGAAAGGCAAAAGCTTGAGTTGATTGCAGCATAATAGCGCTTCTGTGGATTCTCTGGGATTTGCGTTACTCTCATTTCGACTACCTCGTCGTTTACAAGAAGATCCATACAAACTTGACTTACAAAATGGTAGAGCTATTCTCGCTGCTTTGCTGATATTCTATCATCCAACAATTTCAGGTCTATCAAGGTCTTGCACTAGGCATTTTTCTATGCATTGTTGGAATCCTCGCAGAATTTCTGCTCATTCTTGTGTTCCAAATACAGCATTCGTCTGCGATTGCTTTCTTATACGCTATCAGCATGATTATTGTAACTATGATTATAACACTAGGACCATTTATGGGTAAGTTGAGGGGCATGTAAGATGTAAGATGCTAGAACCAGAGATGGGATAGGTGGAGCCGGGCCCCCCAAAAGTGAAGGTGGTTCCAGCTACCACTGGCCGGCCAAAAGTGAAGGTGGTAGTGCCGGACACTCACCTCCCAAAAACGTCGACCGGGGGAAGGGGGGGAGGGGTAGCGTTAACGTCGACTGAGCCTACCCTTCCAGGTCGTTGCCCACAGTGCGCGGAAAATGAGCAAAACAAACGCAAAAAAAGATTATTAAGCATATTTTTATGTATACGGCGGCATATATGTATATCATAACTTATAATAACGGGCTAAGGGTGTTTACGTTTTTTTTTGTGTGTGTGTGTGTGTCTGTCTGTCCGTTACGAAATTCGTAGAGCGTGTTCCAGCCAACGTCCTAAGCCCAAATTTTGCATAGCGAACGCTACCTGCATGAAAGCCCACCATGCAAAAGCATGAGCGGATCCGTTAAGTGGATCCGTTGAAAATTGCGTGTCAAACGGATCCACTCGGCTTCTGACCAGCAAAACTGGGCCGGTACCAACACTTTTTGCGGAGTCATGGATATGTTTGACAAGCTAATGTGGAAGCCAAGGACTTTAGCCCAGAAAACTGAAGTAAAGTTGGCTACTTTACGAAAATGGCGCCAAAAAGAGTTAGTTGCGTAAATGTTCAGTTTGCCAAGGTTTTACCTCATCCTCTGAGAAGATTTTTGCACGGGGATGTAGCCCACGGTGATTTCAGTCGTCATGGCGACTATCAGGCCATAAAAATTCAAAAAACCGATTCAAATTCGCATTAATTTTTCTCAGAAAAGTTTCATCCACGTGAATACCGATCTCACACAAAAAAGCTCTAGGAATGAGTAGTTGTTTACGAATCATTCGTGATAGCCTGCATGGCTCGGTGAGTTTCAATATCATTATTATGTGGGAATGAGTTAAGCATACAGAAAGTAGGGCCAGTGCGAGCCTCTGCGAAGCAGAGGTGACGCACTGGTTTAAAATAAACGTGTTTAGTAAATGGTATGTTTTGAAGTGAAAGTCAGCGAGATTTTACAGATTTTTTCAACTAGATTTTGTGATAACGCACTGCGAAGGAAGTAGGATCCAAGCGGCAACCGCCGAGAACCAGAATTTCGAATGATAAAATAATGAAAAATCGTGAAAAATCAATCCACTGTTACAAATCTGTTGGCTGAAGACCTCCGCAGTTGCGACTTCATAGGTTCTGATGGGTAAGTGTTGTTCTACCAGGCAGTTAAAGAATCAGTTTGATTTGAGGAGTGGCCGCCGAGAAGGAGAATTTTGTAAAACCTTAAAAATCTTCTCAATTTTAGGTTGCTTAATGATAACTGACACTTAAACTCTTATAAATCCAGACTTTGAAGGTGTGTGATGTTGCGACTTCATAGGTTTTGTAGGGTGAGGTTTGCCCTATCAGAATATACCTTAGCTGTACCGATCCATTAAAACATCGCCGAGATCCAGGCTCTTAAAAAGCAGGTAAAAACCGTTTTTCAGCTCATAACTTCTTCAGAATTGCATAATTCATGTTGCGACTTCATAGGTTGGATTCTCCTCAACAAGAGCTTTCAAATGATATATAATATGTGGGAGATCCAATGTTTCTTGCGGCTCTAACCCGGGGTGGAGTACCTCTCTTCACTAATTCTCCACTGGCGGCCTCCCGCCAATACATGGAAATGGGCGGGATGGAGAATTAGTGAAGAGAGGTACTCCACCCCGGGTTAGAGCCGCAAGAAACATTGGATCCCCCACATATTATATATCATTTGAAAGCTCTTGATGAGGAGAATCCAACCTATGAAGTCGCAACATCACACACCTTCAAAGTCCGGATTTATAAGAGTTTAAGTGTCAGTTATCATTAAGCAACCTAAAATTGAGAAGATTTTTAAGGTTTTACAAAATTCTCCTTCTCGGCGGCCACTCCTCAAATCAAACTGATTCTTTAACTGCCTGGTAGAACAACACTTACCCTTCAGAACCTATGAAGTCGCAACTGCGGAGGTCTTCAGCCAGCAGATTTGTAACAGTGGATTGATTTTTCACGATTTTTCATTATTTTATCATTCGAAATTCTGGTTCTCGGCGGTTACGGCCTGGTTAGACCTACTACATAAATTATGCTCTCAATACTTTCTTTTACATTCCTTTTGCTTATTTTTCTTCTTTTGAGCTTTAGCAAAAAAAATTTTCAAACCCAAAAGTGAAGGTGGTCACCCTGTACCAGCTCAAAAGTGAAGGTAGGCGGAGAATCGGCTCCGACTATCGCACCTCTGGCTAGAACTTCAGAAATTTATTTATTTCGGTAATTAAAGTGTTTGGCTCAAATCACTTATCGCTGTTACTACTGTTACCGATTGTTCGCGGTTTTGCCATTACTACTAGTGGCCGTTGTTCAATGTAACCCTTTCTCAAATGATTATCAGCGTACGGCTTCAGATAAATGATCAACTCGCAGTATCATAGGCTTTGCCATTTCACCCGTATCACCGGTGTTACTAATGTTACTAGTGTTACTCCTGCTACTCACCAGTAAATGAGATTGCGTTCTAGAATGAGACTGTATCTGTGATCATTTCATTATTCGATAGCAGTCAAAGGATAAGACCGGTCAATGGATAACAATGATATACCGAGGCGCCACCGGTTACGTGCAGACAGCAGCGGGACGATCGGAGGACTTCCAAATAAACGCTGGTGTACACCAAGGATCCGTACTCTCGCCCTCACTGTTTATCACGGCTGTCGATGCAATAGTCAGAGACTTCATTCGCCGACCACCATGGGCTATCATGTATGCAGATGACGTGATCCTGATGGCAAGAAGCAGGAAGGAGTTGGAAGCGGACGTGCAGATGTGGACGACCCAGCTGAAGCAACATGGCTTGAAGATCAATACCTTGAAGACAGACTACATGGAACTGGGAGCCCAAACACCCGGAACAATCCAGATCGAAGACATGCCGATTAAGAAGACCACGGCCTTCAAGTATCTAGGAAGTCACCTCACCTCCGATGGCACGATAAAGGACGAGATATCCTCCAGAATAAGCGCAGCTTGGTTGAAGTGGAGAAACCTCACAGGAATCAAGTGTGACAGAAGGATGCCGCTACACCTGAAGACGCAGATATATCGCACAGTGGTTCGGCCTACTGCTCTATACGGTAGCGAATGTTGGCCATGCACGCGCAAAGACGAACGAAAGATGAGCGTGATGGAGACAAGAATGCTTCGATGGACGATGGGCCTCACCATGCTGGGCCACGTCACCAGTGACACCGTACGAGCCACGATGAAGGTAGCCCCCATAACCCAGAAGATGCAAGAGAAAAGACTTCGATGGTACGGCCACGTGAAAAGAAGAGAGGAAGACCACATCACCAGATCGGCCACGTCAGAAGATGTACAGGGAAAAGACCCCGAGGAAGGCCGAAGATGAGATGGTCGGATAAGATCAAAGCGGATCTGAAAGAACTTAAAATCGAAGAAGAACAAGCCCTTGACCGCGAACTATGGAAGAGACTTACAAGAGTTGCAGACCCCGAGTAACCGGGAAGATGCCAGGATAAAAAAATAGCAGTCAAAGCGGTAACACAGGTAACAATAGTAACACGGGTAAGGCCTAGGGCAGAGTTCGCGATTTGATCGTCGCGATTCAATCGCTACAAGACAAGTGTAACAACATCATTGCATGCCGATTTTCTTGCATTTCGGTTGTGATATTCTTTTAACACGACTTATCGTGGCTAACTACCACAACCGAAATACAAGTAAATCTGCGTGCACTGCAATGAACTCGTAACGCTTGTCTTGCAGCGTTGAATCGCGACGATCAAATCGGAACTCTGTCCGAGGCCTAACGCGAGTAGCTCCCTATAACACGGGTAGCACGGGTAAAGTATGGCCGGTGCCATAGTATGCTTCAAATTACGGTCAGGTGGTGACTTTTTTGAGATACGATCTCTTACTTTAACTCTTCTTCATGCCTTTGACTTCCCACTGTTTTCAAACGCTGTCAAAGACAAACTAGAGTAACCTTCCTTCTCAAATTGTGGCTGTATAACTGTGCAGAATCCTGCTACAGTAGAGCGTCATCTTAAGTAATATTGGCATCATGTCAATTAATGTTACAATTTTCCATTTTTTTGCATTTTCCATTTTTTGTAATGTCCACTTTGATGTCTAACCCATCTCGTGTATTAGATTCTCAAAAAACGAGAGATGATTTCCAGCAATTAATACGAGGACATCTACGAAATAGCTATACAGGGTGCGCCACAATTATTTGCGCGTGTATCATCGAGCGCCATACAAGCATAAGACCGGCTCAGCCAGCAGTCAAGCTTTATATTGTTTTCTTGGTTCTACAACATTGTATCCTAGTAAAAGAAGTAAAATTGCTTGTTTTGCTTTCCGGTAGAAATTCATAATATTTCTCTAACTTTGTCGCGTGCTGCACGCAGGTAGAGGCCCACAAACTTGCCCAGTATGTATCTTTTTAGTGATCGCTTCTCTCATGTGAAGATTTCGCCTTAAAATAGATCTAATCTTTGACTTTAAGATCACCGAGGTTCGGAATCTTTAGGAGCATTTCAAACAAAAATTTTGACTATTCAATAATTTGCGTCAGCTTGCGTTTTTCTGTCACGAACATTGCTTTTTGCAATTCTTACTTCTCTAAATAAAGAGACCGATTTGGGACCTCGATAGTGCTTTTTGTAGAGTATGCTTACGGCATTCTATGACATTGAATCGAAACCAAATTTCTCATTGCCTTTTTTGTGGCATTACTTTGAATATTTTGGCGCAAATAATTGGCGCACCCTGTAAGTAGAAGGATTTTTGATAAAATCTATTGTGGTATTGTTGACTTTGTTGGAAGGCTATCCGAGTGCAGTAAGAAAGGCAGATTTGATGTGGCATTCTCTAAATGGATAAACTACAAAGCTAAATCTTATAGTTTAATTCAGAGAAGAAGAAGGCGAAGGCTTTCCTCGAAGCGGCCTATTTTGAGTTTGGAGTTGAACAGCTGAAAGCAGAGTCGCTTTACTTCAGGATACAAGCGCGCTCTGCTTCGAAAACCAGCAATAAGCTTGACTTCTACTGGGCATATTCCATGCGATTCAATCGCCTCCAGATAACTTGAAGATCAACACTAGTAGAGTATCAGAATCACTATTGTAAACCGTTGAAATGCCGGCTATCTTTTGCATATACAAAATGCGCTTATGATGAGCTACAAATAATGGAGCAAGTCGCTTCGCGACTGAATTTGCGTCAAGTAGGCTCGGGTTTTAGGGCGTACTAACTCCAGATTTCCAAATTACTTTCTCGCTTCTGTATAACGATTACGCACTTGCCTTGCCGAGAGCGTCCACTTTCCAATGGCTTCCATAAATCCCATCTCCGCCCAGATGCTTCCAAATGGGGGGAGTAGCTACCCTGTATGCATGACTGATGCTGACAGCCTTATCTAACTCTCAGCTTCAACATGACTTATCGAGAAAATGTTCGTCGGCTCCCAGATTCGTATGGAGGGAGTTGCGAACTTCCCTGATTTTCGGAGTAAATTTGTTAAACCTTTATGTTATAGCACTGTTTTGTACTCTCTCGTTAAGGTTATCCTTGAAATCAGGGAAGTCCGCGACCCGCCTCCACCCAAATCTGGGAGCCGATCATATCTTTCCTTCGTGAATCATCTCGCCTCGGTTTTCAAGAATGTCTTTTTTTGAATATGAAAACCGAAACTTGGAAACAATAATATATTTATTGGATGAATTCCAGCTGGTTTTCGAGCACATTCCAAAGCATTGATTTCTGATCTTTATGCTTACACAATCGCAGAAAATCCACTTGATGGGAGCAAAATCATAGCTGTGCACAATGCCTACAATGTTGGTTTTTGATGATTTCATCCTAAACATGTTGATGTTTTTGTGACTTTCAGTGCTGCGGCTTTCAAAACGCTAGCGACTGGTTTTCCGAATCGCTCTTTAATGTCAAGATGCTAGTGAGGCATATTTTCTGTAGTGCGAGATATGAGCGCAATCTATCCATCGACAGATGACGGGTGAATTAAAGAATCGCACAAATCGTTTTGGGTGGACGATGACTTCATGCACCAACAGATCTTCCAAAGAACAAATTCCTATTGCTCCTCCTTTCTGCTGCAAAGTGTAAGTTATTGACGGTTATCTAATGGTCGAGCATTGCAAGCGTTGAAAATTCTGGACAACAAATACACATACAAAGATAATCATGCGTGATACATTCAATCATTGCAGTAACCGATACTTAAAGTGTGATAGCGTTCAAAATTTCAGACCAGGCTGCTACAAATCCAATATCAAGATAACGGAAGGGAAAATGTGTAGCATTCCCAAAGTTGATTTTAGCTTCTATGAAAATGAAATCAAAGGAGAGTATCCTCCACCGTAAGATATTTTAAAAACCTTCGTGATTGTGCAATCCGTGCTCCCAACTTAAATTCAATCTAATCAAGTGTTCCCATCTCAGACAAATCACCGGAACTTCCACAGGACAAGCCAAACTTGCGAAAGTTTCACAGGACTTTGTTTACTATTGCAAAAATAAAAACGGTGAAAATCGGAACTTTCGCGGGATTTTCATGCCAAACTACTTGGAAACCGGAACTTCTGCTGGAGTTTCTTCAAAATTTTGCGGAAATTCCGAAAAATGCCGCAGGTTCCGCAGCATTTTGGCCTGCCAGAAATTTCGCAGGACTTTGATGTGTTGTCTAATAGGATGTTGCCTCGCCAACAACTAGAGTGCATTATTGAACATGTCAGTCCAGTGCAGACGATAGTGAGTCTCACAGTCAATAGAGTAAGGTTCAAATCTTGCTTCGGTGTTCTCTTTTGCTGTTGTAATTCGCATTCTTCGGAACTTCCGCAGCACGTTTACGGAACTTCCGCAGGTGACCCGACGGACTTCCGCAAGCGCTTTGCGGAAGTTCCGGTTATTTGTCTGAGATTTTCATTCAGAATTCCATTCATCTTGTGACCGTGTGATTATCATTTATTTGAAAGAATTATATGATTTTGCATACATTCGTTCAATTTATCACTCATTCGTCATCCTTTCCAGAGTTTTTTTACCTTTTCATCTATTCTATCTCTTACGATTATTGATTTCTCTTATTTATGTCAACAGTTGTGCCAAATCGTTTTATTGAAGGTATGACAAATTGTTTGACAAACCTTGCTTTGCTGCAATAACTGAAGAAGTTGATAACTTAATTGACGCCTCTTATAAATGGATTATCTTTCTGGCGCTGCTTACCATAGTAATGACAGCACTTGTCATCGCAATTCTCCTCTACAACTACGGCCAAGGCGAACTTTTCCCGCATTTAAATACGGTATGTTAATTATCCAATACGCGCAATAATGTGCCCTCATACAGGTGCGCTCCCCTCGTTACAATGCTTTGGTGTGGTTTTTTGTAAAGCTGGACAATAATGAATCTACCATGTAAGTTGCTAGGAGGCTCCAGTTTTAGTGTCAGAACTACTTTGAGTTCTCTCGTCAAAATACTGTTTAGGAAGGAAGAAGACTTGACTGATTTTAGCTTGGTAGAAGAGTTAAAAAAGTTTGACATTGACAAAGATTTGACTGTGAGTTTATTAAATCTTACTAAATGAGCAAAATAGTTACGCATTAAACTTCTTATAGTTTGGTGGTCCACTTCAGTCTTTTTCTTTGAAAAGAAATCTCTAGGCTTATTGCTGCATTTAGTTTATTTGTTAGCAACCTTAGAAACATATTTTTCTGCTGAGCTTGGTTTTTTGTGAATGATTACAAAAGGTACCATTTGATTCAACTGGCTTGGCTTCGTGAAGGCGGGGCTCTGTGACCTAATTAAGGCTAGCTAGTGATCAGAGAGCACCCGCGCGGGATAGACGCAGGTGCGTTGCACGCGCGAGCGGCCTTTTCTACGTCACAAAGCCCCGCCTTTCCGAAGCCAGGCCAGTTGAATCAAACGTTAAATATTCAGGGCGCCCCAAAAGTATGCGTAAAGTATTTGATCCTTAATTCTCTCTTCCCCACGAAGACTTCTGCCTACCTCCAAATACTATTTTGTAGAGCTGGCTTCAACTTATGTTAGATAAGTGAGCAAAGTACCGATCACTCTTTGCATGATTATGTCTCCCAATGATCCAAAACCCTCTTCGAAACTTTGAAAAGGCTTCTGGGTTATTCGGAGTCTTATTTCACACTAAAACGAGAACAAAACGACCCAAAAACACTTGAGACTAGTCAGAAATGCTGAATCTAAATGTGAGATTTGTACATCACGGTAAAAGTTAGCCTACAAGTTATGCAATGTATAACATGACAGCTTCTATGCGCATCAGACCTGCGATTAGACATAAAAAGGTTTGGCCTTGTAAAAACTCTAGTAGTGAAGTCAGCACGCGTGAAACCCCTGCTCACAGCTTTTCTCCTTATTTGATTTTCGGATGCAGCTAAATCATTTCAAAACAGCAAAAAGTTTCTGCCATGGCTCTATATTAATAAAAAGGGCGGTTGGTGATTTGCTCTATATTGCACAGCTAAGTTAAAGCCAGCTATTAAAACTGATATTTCGAAGATAGGCAAACGGCTTCTATGGAGAAGAGATATTATTGACCAAACACTATATAAATGCTTCCGTGGCACCTGTACCAAAAAAATAGAAATGCGCAAATTAGAAGGGAAAACGCTGAAATTAAGATTTTCTTTGGTTCATCAGTTTGTAATTAGCACCTTATCTTTACTACTGAGGTGTGATTATGCGGAATAAATTTGCTTACATTCAGTGAGGGATGTAAACAATGCTTTCTACAACGTCAAATAATAAATACTAGAAATAAATACGAAGCCCTCATATTGAGTGCAATGGAACAATATTTTTTAAAGCACAAGGAAGTTTCTTCCTAATCCAAAATGTAATGACATGCACAAGCTTATTTATTCCGTTTGCACAGCCGCTCTTAATCATTTCCAATAGTCTGTGTTTCGCCTAGACTGTGCTTTATATGATTGCTCAGAATCGACTTTTGATTTTACGTTAACGTTATTAAACGTTATTTAACGTTTTGATGTATACCTATGTTGTGTTAGTGTCTGATCAGTTGTTTCCTCGTATGATCTGCCCTCGCTGAGGCGCCTGCAGCCTCATTGCGCGGGAAATGAGCGCTATAAAAGGCGCTCGCTGTTAGCTATTGTCAGTTCGTCTGTTCACTCATCTGCCTCTCTTATTTTGCTGCTCTATTATTTTCTAATAAATATTCTATTTTCCCCGTGTGCCGCCCAACGGACGAAGGTACGAAGGAGTGTCCGAATCCAAAGGACACAACAGTGGCGATCAGGAGCGGCGGCTACTAGTCGAAGAAGTAGCCGAACCAACGAAGCCCGAGGAAATCAAACCGACGAAAAGACTGCAAAGAGCGGTCAGAACGAACCGATAGATCAGCATGGCGAAGATCGGCTCAGAGGAAATGCTGATCCTGCTCCAGGAGATGAGAGAAGAACGAAGAGAAATGATGGAGCTTCTGAAACACATCACAGGTACAGGACGAAGCGCTACCTCAGCCGAAATCCCGAATGTGATGTCCGCCCTCAGCAATAGGATCGAAAAATTCTACTTCGATCCCGAAGCGGATATGTGCTTCAGTAGATGGTATGCGCGCTACAAGGACGTCTTTGTCGAAGATGCGAAGCAGCTCACCGAAAGTGCGAAAGTGAGGCTGCTGTGCGAAAAGCTGGACAAGGACAGCTTCGAAAAATACCAGAGGCATGTGCTACCGAAGGAGGTAACTGCGATTAAGTTCGAAGAAACCGTCGAAACATTGAAGCAGCTCTTCGACGTAAAGATTTCGGAATTCACTATGCGATACCAGTGCTTGAAACTGGAGAAGGCGGATTCCGAAAATTACCTCATGTATACGGGAAGAGTGAACGAACTGTGCGAGAAAGCGAAGATCCACGACTTGGATAGCGATGGGATCAAGTGTCTTCTGTGGATTTTTGGCCTGAAGAGCCAAAAAGAAGCCGAAATCAGGCAGCGACTCATAGCCGTACTGGACAAGGAGTACAAGGCTGGACGAAAGATGTCGCTACAGGAATTGTACCTGGAGTGCGAAAACTTCCTTAGTCTCAAGAAGGATAGCGAGACTGTGGCTGGTTGCACGAAGATTGTCGAAGCAACAAGCAAGGAAGAACCCAAGAAGCTGGAGTGCTGGAACTGTGGTAAAGCCCACTTTGCTAGGGAATGCAAAGCGAAGCTGTGGTATTGCAAAAAGTGCAAGAAGACAGGCCACAAGGAGAAGTATTGCGAACAAGTGGCGGAGAGAAAAGCACTTGTTCAGCAAGATTCGAAACGAAGAATCCACAGAAGCAGCGATACCAGCAAAAACAGAAGTTGGACGAAATCAAAACGCCAAGTGCATAGCGTTGCGAAGATTGCGAACGCAATAATGGAAGTGAATTCGACTCGCGTATATGTGGAAGCGAAGGTTGATAGTCATCCAGTTAGTTTCTTACTGGATACTGGATCAGATATTACCTTGCTAAACGAAGCAATTTGGAGAAGTATGGGTGCTCCACGGCTGGAGAAAACAAGCGTGATCGTCAAGAACGCTAGTGGAGGCTCCATGAAAGTCCATGGAAAGCTATGGTGTGAGTACGAAATCAAAGGATCCAGAAGCGAAGGCTACGCATACGTGACGCCCCACAAGTCACTGCTAGGATTAGAATGGATCCAGAAAAACGAAGATATGTCCTATCACCTAAGCAGAATGGTTGCCGAAGTGAAGGCAGAACAAACCAAGGATATCGCTTCGAAGCTAAAGGAAGCTTACCCAGAAGTCTGCGAAGAAGGTCTAGGACTCTGCACAAAGGAGAAAGCGCATCTGAGAGTTGACGAAAATGTTCGTCCAGTATTCAAGGCTTGCAGGCCTGTCCCCCATGCTGCGCTCGAAGCCGTCGAAAAAGAGTTGGATAGACTACTGGAACTAAAGGTCATAAGTCCAGTGACGCACAGTGAGTGGGCAGCTCCGATCGTATGCGTCAGGAAGGCGAATGGAAAGTTGAGAGTGTGTGCCGACTTCTCAACTGGACTCAACAAAGCGCTAGAGTCGTATGATTACCCGTTGCCATTGCCGGAGGATATATTCGCATCCCTCAATGGAGGCACGGTGTTTTCGCAGACAGATTTGTCGGACGCCTATCTGCAAGTGGAGTTATCAGAAGAAACGAAGAAATTGGTTGTGATCAACACACATAGAGGCTTGTACCAATACAACAGACTGCCTTTTGGCATAAAGACAGCACCAGGAATCTTCCAACAGATAATGAATAAGATGGTGAGCGGTTTGCAAGGTGTAGCAACCTACCTGGACGACATATTGGTCTGTGGAAGAACCGAAGAAGAACATATGGCGAATTTGCTAGCTGTTTTTGCAAGGATAGCCGACTATGGATTCAGGATTCGCTTAGAGAAGTGCTCTTTTGGCAAGCCAGAGATACGATATCTTGGCTTCATAGTAGATCGAAATGGCAGAAGGCCAAACTCAGAGAAGATCGAGGCAATCAAGAAGATGGATGAGCCGAAGAACGTTAATCAATTGAGAGCTTTCCTTGGCATGATAACGTACTATGCGGCGTTCATGCCAAAGATTAAGGATCTGCGTGGACCATTAGACGCGATGCTGAAGAAGGATTCGAAGTGGGAGTGGACTCGAAGAAATTTCACAAGTACATATTTGGACGAAAATTTCTTTGTTGACGGACCATCAACCACTGCTAGCCATCTTCGGTGATAAGAAAGGAGTTCCTGTCTACTCCGCTAACCGACTTATGAGATGGGCTACAATTCTACTTGGATATGACTTCGACATAGAGTATGTGGAGACTACGAAGTTCGGACAAGCTGATGGCTTGTCAAGGTTGATGAAGAAGAATCAGAATCCCGAAGAAGATGTCGTGATAGCTGCAGTTGAGAACGACGTTGACTACATGCTGAAGAGCTGCATAAGGAAACTGCCAGTAACGGTATTTGATGTACAAACTTGGACGAAGAAAGATCCAGTACTTAGAAAAGTACTCAGTTACGTGCAGAAAGGAAACTGGCCAGACGCGAATGGAGAATTGGCACATTTTCGAAATCGAAGAGAGACATTGTCAATCGTGGAGCAATGTCTGATGTCAGCCGAAAGGGTTGTGATACCCAAGGAGCTTCGAGGAAATGTTCTGAAAGAACTGCATAGTGGTCATCCTGGGATTGTAAGGATGAAGAAGCTGGCTCGAAGTTACGTCTACTGGCCGAACATTGATAAAGATTGCGAAGATTTGGTACGAAGATGCACGAAATGTCAGGATTTAGCCAAAAATCCGACGAAGGTACCATTGGAAGCATGGCCGTCAGCGACTCGAGTGTGGCAGCGAATACACATCGACTTCGCTGGACCTATGCAAGGTGTTTTCTACTTGGTCGTAGTAGATGCGTACAGCAAATGGCCGGAAATGATCGAGATGAGCAATATCTCGGCTGCGAAGACGGTGAAGGCTTTGAAGAACTTGTTTGCGAGGTATGGATTGCCGCAAACAATAGTGAGCGACAATGGTACCCAGTTCACATCGGACTTGTTTAAGAAGATGTGTGACGAAGGTGGAATCACCCACATATGGACTGCTCCGTATCACCCTCAATCGAATGGACAGGCAGAGCGTTTCGTTGATACGCTGAAACGCGAAATCAAGAAACTAGAGGGGGAGGAAAGGCCAACAGAAGAGACTCTAAATGTGGTGTTACAAGCGTATAGGACAACACCAAACACGAACTTGAATGACAAGACGCCAGCAGAATTGTTCCTAGGCAGAAACTTGCGCACAAGATTAACGCTATTGCTACCGATGACAGAAGATACAGAAGACCCACTCGCACGAAGAAGACGAGAGCGCATGAAGGATCAGTTCGACCAGAAGCATGGAGTCGTTCGAAAAGATTTCGAAGTTGGTGACCTGGTATACGCCAAGCAATGGAAGCCACCCCACTTCCATTGGATGAAAGGAACGGTGATGAGACGTATTGGACGCGTCAACTATGAAGTTATGGTTGGTGATGAGATATGCAAGAAGCATGCAAATCAGCTACGGCATCGAAGCGATAGTGAACAGGTTGCCGTGCGGCAACAACTTCAACAACAATCCGAAGCCTTGAAGATACTGTTAGATGTTCTGACAGAAGACGACACACTACCGAGGAGTGGCAATGCTGCTGACGAGAATTCTGAGCAAGCGATCGCGAGCGATGTGCCAGCACCCGTGGATTCAACGACATCGACGTCGACATCAAGCCACGATCCCTCCACGCCACCGACAACGCTTCGCAGGTCGAGCAGAACGAGAAGACCGGTACAACGGTTCCAATCTAGTTCATAGCATGTTATTGTATGTTTGTTTCATTAGTTTGTAGTTGTTTAAATGATATGCTATCTATATATGACCGATTTCTTGTTATTCATATTTCATGATTTGTCGTAGGCTAGTTGTGTTGTAACTACCCTACTGGGGGAGGTGTTGTGTTAGTGTCTGATCAGTTGTTTCCTCGTATGATCTGCCCTCGCTGAGGCGCCTGCAGCCTCATTGCGCGGGAAATGAGCGCTATAAAAGGCGCTCGCTGTTAGCTATTGTCAGTTCGTCTGTTCACTCATCTGCCTCTCTTATTTTGCTGCTCTATTATTTTCTAATAAATATTCTATTTTCCCCGTGTGCCGCCCAACGGACGAAGGTACGAAGGAGTGTCCGAATCCAAAGGACACAACAACCTACAAAGGTAGACAGAAATGAACAAGAAAAAATTAAACCACCTAAACTTTGATCATTCTCAGAGAACATTAAAGGTTTTGATCTAACTTCCCTTCGCTGAAATTTGGATAACGCTCTGTGAGCGAGAAATTTTGTTCAAAGTAAAATGACAATCTTCGAGCTAACCTTACATGATAAATCAAGCTTTTCCATATAAGCACAGTCATGAGCGGTTACAACTGGTGCGGTACAACATGATTTTTCAGGATATGGAATGAAAGCGGCGATTTTCTGCAGGATTCATTACAAAAAAATCACAAAGAAAAATCGCCAAAATTTAATATATGTTAGCACTTTTATTTTTCTTTGTTTCTGTTCAATAAAATTGTTTAATTGACTCGGCATAGTATGTTGACATCTTGCATGGAAATATAATGTAAGAAAATCAGACGCACAGAATTTGAAAAATACTGTTGATACTGTACTATGTACTCCAACAGCATCGTTGGTAGTAGTTTACTTACCCGTTGATTCAAGTGGATTGGCGGGTGGAAGGCGGAGCTTCGTGACTGCCTTAAAGGCAGTGTCCGTGCAAAAAGTCGATTCTGAAATTTTGTGCTTACCCGGGCCGATCCGCTACGCTAAATCCGAAAGTCGTCCACACTAGAGTGTGCAAAATTGGTAAAAAAGGGCTCTAAAGCAGGAGGGAAATCAGCGGCAGCGGGGTCCTCCCCCTGTAAATTGACGCTCCCTGCTTCAGAAGCGATCTTCCCGATTCCCCTAGCTGCCCTAACTCGCCAACGGCTACGTGCGAGCGCGTGACTTAAAATCGGAACCGAGAAGATTGCTCCGGGAGTTGGAAGCGTGAGTTCACAGTGGATAAGACCCCGCCCACCTGCTGACGTCCATCTTGCGTTTACCCTTTTTTGCCATTTTCGTGCCCTCCAGTGTAGATTTTCGGATTGTGTCGAATAGGCCCGGGTAAGCACAATCTCAATTCGACTTTTTGCCAGGACACTGCCTTTAAGGCTAAGGAATGATCAGAGAGCATGCGTGCGAGAGAGACGCAGACTGCGTCGCGGGCGCAAGCCGTTGCCTTCGAACCGAATCTCGTTAAGTCAAAGCATATTTAGGTTGCACCGCACTTGTACAGGCGGAATGTACAATTTCCGCTCTTTTTCGTTTCCGACAAGAATCTAGGAGTGTAAAAAGTATTGATGAGCCACATGCATCCCTTTGTAAGTGAGAAAACATTGATCAATAGGTTGCTTGTAGTGTACAACTTAGTAATAAAATACTGTAATGTCATCGATATAAGTAGACAACATGCTCCCCTATAAAAACAATACTTTCTACATAGAATCTAAGCAATGTTTGGATGTTACCTTGCCTAAACCTTCTGAACCTGAAGCTAATTTTTGCTTTCGTATGCTATATCGTGCTGTTTTGCTAGAACGTATTTTTATATTTTCGGTATTGAATATCCTAGGAATGTTCCCAGTATACTTCATATTTATCTTTGAGGTTTGCAACACTTGGATTTGTAACAGAAAAATTATAGCTTCTCCATTTTTTCTAGTTTGAAACCCCGAAAAATCATGCGAAAATTTGGCTTCTTTCTTTCTACTTTGATATCCACATGCAAGGTTCTTCCTGACTGCGGGCCTTGACTGCGCCTTCAAAAGTTTTTATAATATACTCCCCCTTTTTCGTCTTCGTGCCGGAAAGCTGGTTACTGTAATGACAGGTTGTTTGAGAATAGGCCGAGTAGGACAGGACTTATTAACATAGTAAAAGAATGCGGAGATGCGAAAGCATTACAAAATAGCTAAAATCAACACAAATAAATGATATTACAAGAATTTGCCTAGAGTAAGCATGAAAAATGCAGAGGAATGCCCCTTTAAAGCAATAAGATCTTTTTTCTAGTTGATTCAAAATTCATGCATTCTATGTTTCTCTGACATAAATAGCTTATCGCTCGTTCATTTCTTCAAGCGTGAGAACTACTTCCCAATGATTATTTGAAGGGATTTCTCTCAGTGAAACGCAGGTTTTGATAGCAGTGAAAATGAATGTCGCAGAGTAAGCATAAAGCAAGTCTCTAGATTGTTTTTTTTTAACTTGTGGTGATCAACGGGTCAAATGTTTATTAACAAATCCGTTGTCAGAAAAATTTATTCGTAAAGCTAAGTAATGGAGTACGGATGCTATTGAGAAAAGCCTTTATCTTACTTCGCATTTCCTACACTGAAAACACAGACCACTTTCTCTTCTTTCTTTTTTGGCCTTAGCTTCACAATGCAGCCGCACCTCGATCCATTGACTTGCAAGATAAAGCTGGAATAACGTACTTATAGTGTTGCAGCATTCAGCTAATTTTCATCTCCTGCTAGTAGAAAAACAAGTCTCTGTTTGTTCTGCCTCCCAAAAACAGAGAGGATATCAGAAGCTGCAACTACTCGCTTACCCTTTGCAATCTTTCCAATTTTTCTATTACGAACAATGTAGCCATGAATCTGTCAGTGTTACGGCTGCAAGAAATGATTGTCGAAATCGAAATTAGATTCTACAATAGCTAAATTTACGTACATGTCGTAAAATACAGAAAGACGTTTGTATGTTTTCAGCACATTATTTTTCGGTACAGCAGCTAACTTTTCATTTTTGCAGTCGTAATGCTGAAAAAGTGAAGTTAGATCTTGTTACTTACATGTTAGATCTTGTTACTTGTAGGTGCTATTTTTTCTCTAATAAGCAACTTACCATGAACAGATCGTTCGCGCGGAGCTCATTTTCGAAATGATAATCAAACCCCCAATATTCACCACGGCATAATGACAATGCTAAGCTCATAGGAATAACCTACAATTTCACTTATGTATAACCAGTTGGCTTTCCCGGTCCAGCCCGGGCCATGGTTCACCGCACTGCGAGCCCCCCCCCCCCCCTCCCCGCCCTATATGGTATGGATGACTTACCCTGGGACATCCGCTTGGAAACCGCATCCTCGTGAGCCTGAGGTGAAAATGAGCTTCACCGCCCTCCTTTACATGAGTATGGAAAATGCTTGATTGAACATGATAACCCTTTAATTCCTTAGGAAAATGTAAACAAATCAATAAATCGATAGAAGAACCCAACGAATCGCCGCAAAAAGTAGCCTATCATTTGCGCAAGGGTCGAAAACATATGTTTGCAAAGTTTCAGCTAAATCGGTTGAGTGGCGCGCGTTTCTATAACGCACATACCCTCCAAACTGACAATTTTTGAGTTTTATATATATACCAGTGCGTCACCTCTGCTTCGCAGAGGCTCGCACTGGCTCTACTGTCTAGGTCCTACTCATTCTCGCATTATGATGGCATTGGAACTCACCGAGCAATGCCGACTGTCACGGACAAAATGTAAACGACTATTCATTCCGAAAGCTTTTTTATGTGAAATCGGTGATTTCGCGCGAATGAGACTTTTTGCAGGAAAACAAACGGAAATTTTTATAGGTTTTTATTTCCATGGTCTCGACACCTGCAATAAGAACAGCAGTCACTGTGAGCTACATCTTTGTGCAAAAATCTCGTCAAATGCTCTGGTAGAACCTTGGCAAATTGACCATATACGCAATCAATACTTTTTAGCGCCGTTTTTGTAAAGTAATGGACTTTTAATCACTTTTTTGGGCTCAAGTTCATGACTTGCATATTTGCTTGACACAAACATCCGCGACTCTGTAAAATGTGCAACTACGGACCCAAATTTGCGGCCCAAACGCAAAGTGGACCCGTTTGACGCGCAGTTTCGGAGGGATCCACTCAACGAATCCGCTCATGCTTTTGCATGTTGGACTTTCATGCGGGTAGCATGCGTTGTGCAAAATTTGAGCCCAGGAGGTTGGCTGGAACTCGCACTACGAATTTCGTGACAGACAGAGATTCACACACACACACACACAGACAAACGTAAACAACCCTTAGCCCGTTATTATAAGTTATGATATGCTCATGCTCAATAGGGTCTTCAACAGAACCAATCACTGACCACCAAAATCGTGGAAATTTTCCTTCAATTTTCTTCATTAGAAGCTATGTGGACCCGCTTCACGTGCGAATTTCAAAGGAACGGTGCATTGGTTCCGCTCGTCCATGCACATAGTGAACCTAAATGCTAAGAGCGTATGCTGTGCAAAAAATCGGCTTGAAACCTTGGTTGTAGCTCGCTCTGTGAATTGTGCGTGCGTGCGTGCGTCAGAGCCAGTGCGTAGAGCCAGTAGAGCCAGTGCGTCGCCTCTGCTTCGCACTGGCTCTACTATTCACATGCCTTCCTCGTTGTCCCAAAATGATGGCTTTGAAACTTACCTCGCGATGCCGATCATCACGAATGAAGTGTAAACAACTACTCATTCCTAAAGCTTTTTCATGTAAGATTGGTGTCTTTGAGGGAAAGAAGGTACTCTCCAAAAGATTAAATGCGATTCTGAATCAGTTACTGGGGTTATAATGGCTTGATAGTCGCCATAAAGATGACGACAACCCTGAGTGACATCACTGAGCAAAAATTTTCTCACCTTCCCAAGTAAAACTTTGACAAATCGATCATCTACGCAATTACTCTTTTTTGGCGCCGATCTTGCATGGAAGTGAACTTTTTGCTCACTTTTCGGGCTGGAGTCCATGGTTTGCGGATTTGCTTGCTAAACGAAACCATGACTTTGGAAAAAGTCCAATTACAGGCCCACTTTGGCGCGCGAAATGTCGCGTGGATCCGTTTGGCGCACAATTTCACAGGTTCCAATTATTGGATCGGCTTGTGCTTTTGCACATTTTACCTACATGCTGATAGGGTGCTACTACCAAAATTCTAGCGCAAGACCTTTGCTGGAACTCGCTCTACGAATTTCGTGACAGACAGAGATTCAGACACACACACAGACAGACAAACGTAAACAACCCTTAGCCCGTTATTATAAGTTATGATAGATTTGAAAGGAACAAAGTACGACTCACTCAAGATGTCATTTTATCCACTAACTAACTTGTTTACCCGGCTCCGCTCGGCCCTGTCAATACACTGTAATAAAGGTCCCATCCCTATCCCTGTACAGCCTTTCCCTGTGCCCACTTCTACAAACACTTCGTTTCCCGTTCCCTGTGTTGTTTTCGAAATCAGCATGACCACTTACTCCTCCTGTGCCAACTCCCAGCTCTTCAGCTCAAATTTTGTAAAAATCGATAAAAACGATAAAAGTAATAGGTAATGCCAAAATTAATATTGCATTCGG